GACCCCACGGACACACCGATGCCGCGGGACATATACTTTTCCCGGGGCTGCACGAACAAGCCACCAGCCACGCTTCGCCTAACGTGGTGAACGGGCAGATGCGCCTGGGCTTCTCCGGAGACATGTACGGCAGACCCGACCAGTATGGCCAGGTCACCAGCCCCCGCTCCGAGCACTATGCCTCGACCCAGCTGCACGGCTACGGCCACATGAACATGAACATGGCAGCCCACCACGGGGCAGGGGCCTTCTTTCGTTACATGCGACAGCCCATCAAACAGGAACTCATCTGTAAGTGGATTGAGCCCGAGCAATTGTCAAACCCCAAAAAGTCCTGCAACAAAACTTTCAGCACGATGCACGAGCTGGTGACTCATGTCACGGTGGAGCACGTTGGAGGACCCGAGCAGTCCAATCACATATGTTTCTGGGAAGAGTGTCCAAGAGAAGGGAAACCTTTCAAGGCCAAATACAAACTTGTAAATCACATCAGAGTCCACACAGGTGAAAAACCTTTCCCCTGCCCTTTCCCAGGCTGTGGCAAAGTGTTTGCCAGATCAGAGAATCTCAAAATACACAAAAGAACTCATACAGGTCAGTATGTAAAGCTCTCTTTACTCTCTCTCTGTGTTATTCAGCATACTGTTTTGCTTTATTATGTTTTTAATGTATCATTTGCGTTGTTATTGAATGCACGCCAAGTACTTCTGGAAAATAAATTCTCAGATTTTTTTTGCTTCTTTAACGGTTGGCGGGAGGGAGGGAAAAAAGAGGAGGAAAAAGGAGAGCCAGAACAAATCTCAGGATTCTCGTCCATGTTTTTTTCTGGTTGTACGGAGAGGCTGTTGTAATGTTTATGCGTATAGAGCTGTGTAAATATCGAGTGATATAGCTACTATTTCTGCTTATTCACACAGGCGAAGATTTTTTTATTTTTTTTTTCGTCTGGCAGTTTAAAGTAGTTGGGGAAAAAAATGAAATCATTGTGCAAGCTCACAAATTAAAAGTGAACAATAGAACTTACAACTTGTCTAGTCAGTTTTGACTGATGTCGCTGAGATGTTGCAGCTCGAACATTGTGAGGTGGGGCTGAGGGGGGGGGACGCAGCAACCTGTCCTGTTTAAATTTATAGGTTTTAATTAATTGTTGTTTGGTAGTTTTGACTGTGGCACGATGAGAAATTGTGCTAAATATTGCAGGCAGCTCACCCGTCTCCCCTCCGTAGTTCAGGGCTTGCTAAATATTTAATTACGATAAGCGATTTTAAATAAACCGAGCCCGGCGCGTTAGTGTGTTATTGTTGTGCGGAGGGCAGGCGCCGGGAACCCTGAGAACTTTTCTTCGTCGCGGGAGATGGAAATGCTGCAGCCTCTGTGTGGGAGAGCTCTCTCCCCCTGTTCCCACCCCCGAGCGCCGAGAGGCAGCGGCCGCTTTCCCGTTCCCTTTTGAAGAGGGTTTGTGGGGCTGCCCTCGCGTTGTAAGCCCTGGCCGGATAATTTCCAATATTGCAAGAAAATACGGTGGAGGGGCTGGGGTGGGTGGAAGAGTAAAATAACACGAGAATGAGGTATAAAACCGGCAATAAGTCACTGAGGATGGTGTGTAAATACCACCACGTCTGCTCTCTCTCTTGGAGCGCTGCGAGGAGGGACAGTGCCAAAGGCTGGGGCTGCAAATGGAACTCCCTCCTGCGGGGAAAAAAAAAGAAAAAGAAAAAAAAGAAAAAGAAAAGTTATTTAACTCCCCCCCTGCTCCGAAATGGGCGCTCAACAGGGGCCAGAGGTGCGGAGAGGACAGAGAAGAGAAGCAAGATTGGGGATTTAAGCCTCGTTGCGGTTAGAAAGTTGCAAATGTTTGAAATGGAGCCCTGGGCTTCCCTCTGGCTGTGCGGTGGGGACAATGAGAGTTTCAGCCGGCCCTGCTTAATCAGATCCGTTTTTTCCTCCCCCCTTCCCTCTGCAATAGGTGAAAAACCATTTAAGTGTGAATTCGAGGGCTGTGACAGGCGCTTTGCAAACAGCAGCGACCGCAAAAAGCACATGCATGTGCACACTTCCGACAAGCCCTATCTCTGCAAAATGTGTGACAAGTCCTACACGCACCCCAGCTCCCTCAGAAAGCACATGAAGGTAAATGGAGGGCTCTCGGTGTGCGGGGCTTGGCCGCCGCCTCGGGCCTGCCCGGGGGAAGGGGCTGCGGGGGCTGCGGGCCGAAGCGCCGGGGCCTTGGGGCGGTCGTGGCGGAGCG